TAATATCGCAAAGCTACTCTCAAATGATGTGACATATAGAAAGGTCATAGAATAGAAAGGTCATGTGTACTTACTCCTGCTTCCATTTCTAGTTTTAACTTGTTATAGTCGGCAGAGTAAGGGTTGACAAGGTCRTCTGTATGTGTTTGGTTTGTTATCTTGACAGTGACATTATAAACCCGACCTGCAAGAAAACACATTAGGGATAAGGTTAGAACTTCCAGTTTAATGATTGTAAAAAAAATTATGTCTGCCTGGCTATTTGTTCGTCCTTCAGCCGTAAAATATCGATTTAAAGGTTTGCTTCCCCCATTTTTTTTTCGGTGATTCTTCTCGYTCTCTTGAATGACCGATATTTGTGCCAAGGGTTCCGGAGCCAACTCTACCAGCCCCAGTCCCCTTCCCTCCCTCGTTGTTTCCTTGACAAAAAGACAGAACATCTTATTGGCGCTTTGTTTCATTAAGATATATTGGAATTGTCTAAAGAATTACACTGATTAATTCTATTCTATAAGAAATTCTCTTGCCTTTCTTATCGCGTTGGAAAGCAGTTTAATATATACTTTGCTACTGCCGCAAAGTCTTTGAAGTATGAGAGTCTATTGGCAAACTCATAAAATAATTCACTATCGGATAGTGCAACACTTGTTCGGTGTTGATTAAAAAAAATTCCCCTGAATGCAATTTTAAGTCAATCGTCACAGACTTGGTCATGAAAAGGCAAACAGATTGGCCAGCGTGCAACACCCATTGATCGTATTCCACTTATTGTTTTCTATCTTGATGGAATTTGTTGTACTTACATTTTAAAGCAGCTGGGGCAACTGTTGGTTTTGGTGTTGTTGGTTTTGGCTTTGCCGTAGGCTTAGCTTTTGTCTGCGAGTCTTTAAAAAAATTAACACATAATTATTTAATTTAAAGTWTTTTAGAGTGGTTTTCATAAACCCGTGAAACAAAGTGTAATAATTAGAGTGTAATAGACCGTAATAGTCGCGTAGAGACAATAAAAAAACAAAATAAAGCGTAATAGCGATAAATACGCTAAAGTGTGTTTCACGGGTTAATGAAAACAACTCCACTAGATTTTTGTTACTTTTTTACCTATCAGTGAAATTTCCTTTTATTTTAATCGAACTTTTTTAATTAATGTAACTCGTCCAGTTTTTAGAACATCATGTTTCTAATGTTTATATGAGACGTAGTGTCACTATAGTATGGCTAAACTGTTCTGCTTTTTCATTGGATAAGTTTAAACAAACGAGTTTGACCCTTCCATTTAGAGGCTCCCTAGAGGCTCCCTTAGTTAGTGCTTAAAAATGATGATAGCTGAATTTTGTTAGGCGCTAAATAGCTACGCGATGTTTCGCACTATAATTTTGGTGAGTTATTATTTTATGGTGAACTTACAAACTAAGGCGATGCACAAGGCAAAGCACAAGGTATAGACGGCACCTTTCATCTTGAACAATCTCTAAAAAATACAATGTAAGAGATCAATACATATCATGGGAATTGATGATATTTATACAGCCCGGACTGCGTAATATTTATCAAGAGGGGGGAGGGGTTTGAGAAATGAGCTATGAAATCAAAAAAAGTTAATTACTATCTACTAGTTAATTTTAGACGTTGCCCCCACTCTTAAAGCACATAAAATCAGATGTTGCCCCCCCCCCCCCCCCCCCCACCCCAACAAACAAACAAAACAAAGTGTCATATAACTTTATCATATATTCTCATATATTCTTTATTATGTTCAAACTTTGAAGATAGCGATGCCTCTCTTATTTTTTTCACTTTAGCGGAACTAAAGCCTGAATCATCAATAACAACAACTTTCAAAACATATTTTCAACAAGAACACAAAAGCAGACAATGAGGAATGGTAAACAAAATGAAAATAAATGAACAAATTAAAAGAAAGAAAGAAACAGGAAACGGAAGATAGTCTGAATTTTATTAATTTTATTATTATATTTTTATTGGTTTGTCCTTGTTGTGTGTAGAGATATAAAAGAGKCATCGCTATTCATTCCTGAGCATCGCCCAAGTCACCCCGGCGCTTTTTTTTCCTTACTAGCCTTTATAAAGTTTTAGGGAATATTACTAAAGTGAAAGTATATAAAATAGTTCATAAAATATATTTTTTTATAGCGGCTAAAGACAACAGAAGCTATATGAAATGTTGTTGTTGAAAGCGCTGTAAGAGAAAGCAAATCAAATTCAAAAGAGGGTCAACACATTACGGGGACTGGWATGCAAGCCGTTCGGTAGTACATTCTGAAATATGATGTAGAAATTAAGGAAAGGAATAGTGCTAAATTATATATATATTTTTAGGCATTTGTAAAGATAACCCAACAATTTCATAAGAGTTGTATAAGCATGACAAAAATACATTCAATGTACATATGGAGGGGTTTGGCTTAATAGATATTCTTAAAAATATAGAAAAAATTATGAACTCAAACCTTTGAAATATCCTCGACTTTGATCAAGTCAAATTCTGCTTACTTTGTGTGATTTTAACTGTATTTTTATACTTATTACCTGGATATATATATATATATATATCTTAGATTGTCACTGAAACGCCTCTAACGGTGATGTTATTAATAATTCAATACTATCAACCGTTGGACCCCACCAGTCGACTGAAAATAACGTCCGCCTTACAAACTCTTCTCTGGTAGCTTTCAACGAAAGCAGCCATAAATCCAGCCCCTTGAAATAACCTCAATAATTGTTGTATTAGATGATTATATTTAGAAAAAAACTGAGAATTATTTGTACGAGGAATGTTTTTGCTTTAAARCTAAGGGAATTCAGTGTTTATCATTTAAAACCGGTTGCTTTATGGTGACCAATCAATTAATTATCAACAACGAAGAAATAACGTTGGAAAGCAATTCAAATACGTTTCCTGAAACTTTTAAATTAAAAATTTTAGTTTTTTGATACACAAACATAAAGAAACATCAATTTGATGAAATTTTTTAGCACTTTACTAAGTTAGAGTGCCTTTAATTAAAATGAAAATAAAACATAACTACTGAATGATCTTTGATCTTGAGATTTTGTATCGTTTTGTCTGAAAAGATACATCATATAAAATATTGTAATAATTTAGCTTTTTGTCTTTAACTTCTTGTTGTTGAAGTAAATATACACTCGTTCAAGTTATCTCGTTCACAGTGCAAAAGGTTTTAAAACGCTGCCGCGAAATTGGAAAAAAAATGTTATAAGGCTATGAAGAACAAGCGAAAAGATTTAGAACACAATTTTAAAATGCTTCATTTCAAATGTAACTAAAATGTAATGTTATAATTGGCTACACTTTTGAGTTGATAAAATGACCAGACTCTATTTCAAAGCTTAGTGAAAATCAAATGTTGGTGATTCACTTTTACCCTAGTGGCAAGAATGTGTAATCATTTCAAAAGAAAATAATCAACAAGGATACTTAAAATGCCTTATCRTTCGAAGTTAAGAGAGTCAAGAGTTTTAAGTATTGTAAATTTACTCGGCGAGGAGAAAACGGATGGCTGAAAATTACAAACTGTGAAAGGGCAAGCTGATATACTTGAACTGATTACAAATATGACAATATTAATTGTCACCGTATTCGCGCCCTTTTAGTCGTCAAGTAGAGGGCTTTTTAACATCATTAGATTTAAAATTAAGTCATTCACATCTACTTACATTTTCTTTGTCCAAGTTAAAAAACTCCAAACCAGGAAGAAATCCAAGCGACGGGCTTATTTACTTAAAGTCAAATTTATGACTCAATGATTAAGGATTAAGTAATCCTGATCGAATGCTGGGAGCGCCTGGTTCTTTTGAATCTGCGCCTGCGTGGTGACCTATAGCAGTTGTGCGCTGACCCTTTTGAGTGGTCTGTGGCCTGGGACGGGTTTGACAGGTTGTTTTGGTCAAGAATCGACACTTACCTATGGGGTTTCTAAATATACCTGTCGTATTTTCGTCGTAGGACATTGGGAGAACTTTCAACGTGGTTAATTGCGTAGGACTTTCAAAGAACACGATTATTTTTATTCTGAAGTTCCTTCGCCCACACCTCATTGTAGCAYCGGACGGACGTAAAAGATTCGCTTCAACTCTTGAAAAAAAGTAGAGTACTTTGATCTTGGTGTTAGAGCAATATCCGTTTGGCTAAAAGCCCATCGCGACTTGGCTTGGTCWAAAGGGTAAATTTCAGAAAGGTTTTATAATAAGGATTGATCATAAATTTCAAAATCCCCTGGAATCATTTAGCTGATCGAGGTTAATGATTGTTCGTCATAGTGCTCGAGTTGGGTTGGACATGTACAAAACGAACAGGGGGCTGGCACTAGCTGTGGCAAATAGTGCAAAAAGAGTCAAAGTGTAATAGCGATAAATACGCTAACGTGTGTTTCACAGGTTAATGAAAACCACTCTATTTATATGTTGCACAGTTTTAGTGTTTGTACTCTAGTCATTATTACTCATATTGTCATCAAAAGGTGTGTTTTTGTGAATTTCGATGAGCTACCTCTCATTATGATGTCCATTTTAAAATAGCATTTAATCGTGTTGCAAAAATTAGCTATTTGGATGTAGTACCCAGTCCCCTGATCGTTTAGAATATTGCTAGTWARTATTATCAATAGGCCATTTATGCATGAAGGCGTGGCTTTACTACAACTACCAGACAGCCTTGCGCAATTTCATTGTTMTTCAGATTTCTAATCACSTTRGAGATGAAATAAAACAATTGATACTAAATGCATTACAAAAGAAAGTTGGCAAAGCATTCTGGTAGTTGTAGTAAATATGGCCATAATGCAAATCGGCTATTTGTCGGATTTTATACTTCTGTGTGATCTCGCTTTCCAGAATTACACAACACAACTGTATTAAAGGACACTGTCAATGGCACGCATACGCGAGTAAACTTGAAAAATTAGGCTAATGTTTTCAAGATTATGACTCCAAGTTAGCGCGACATAAATCAGCTCGTAAACGTAAACAGATCTAGAATTTTCCAAAGTGTGTCAAAAGCACCACAAAATGATTTAACTTGAAGGTAATACTTTCAAAGTCCGTTAGAGGCGAGACTGTGACTGCGCATGTCATCCATTGACAGTGTCCYWTTAAGAGAGCAAAACATGAAGGCAGGATACAATATATATATTATTTTTTAATTGAGTTAATATAGACGAAATTTTAGTGAGAATTGTGTTTGCCTCGCAGTTTATTCATTGAAAACAAAAGTTATTAAAGTCTTTTCTTCTTTGCCCAGTGTGCAGGCAGGAAATGACTGCCTCTACGCATGCTTATTCCTCGCAGAGTCAATTACAAATATTGATTCACTAAGAGCGAAAATGTGAGTATAGTCAAAGCATTGAATACTACATTGTAAATTGGMAAAATTGCTTTTTTACCGCTCATTCCGACATCTTTGAAAAAGGTTGAGAGATTGTTATTTTTAATAACGCCTAAAATCGTTTCATCGTTGGTAAGTGAACTAACTGTTCTTAYTTCACCTTTATATTTGAAAGAAATGTGCGATAATGGATGTTTTTATAAGTTAAAAGTACTTGGAAGGGAATTTATACATGTCTCATTTGCCAATATTCTCTAGTTTTGCTTGAGCTGTCTACCAT